AATAACAGCATCAAAGTAAAATACCTAAAAAAGCTTAACAAGCTAATAAAGAAGGCCGGGTCTCTTCCAGGAACTCCTCTAGAACCTCTGGAGATGATTTTACAAAGAAGAATTCTTCATAAAGTAAAGAACTTTTTGGACAACAGTAAGCATCATCTTCATCAGATTGTTAAACAACAACAACGGTGTCTGCAGTAAGAGGATTCTCTAGATCCGGTGCAAGACAGACAGCTATAGAAGATCCTTCCAGCCTACAGCTGTCAACACACACGTTGAAAATATCCCATGAGTTACTGTAACATTTAATTTCCCTTTTGGATTAACAGATGATTGAATTGAATTGAATTAAGGCAAATTACAAACAACTCATGTCTCAAATAAAAGCCATTGCCAATGTCTTTAATTTCTGGCCTTTAAGTAATGCCTGAAATACCATGACTTGATGTCTTCTCATCTTTGATCTTTAAATAAGCAAATCAATAATACAATAATCTGTCCTTAGATGTTAAAGTACAATTAGTTTATTTTGCAAAACATTAGTCAGCCATAACATTTGACAATAAAGCTTTTATTCACTGATATAATTTCCAATTTTGCATTGTTTAAACATGTGGTGTAGCTGCAACTCCAGTCTATATTTCAGCTGTGTTGGTGCAATCCTTCTAACTTTACCAATCAAAGAGACATATTGTCATTGACACATATAGATTGCAGCTCAGTGAAACTTCTCCTGGAGTAGAACGCGTGATATTGATTCTGAACCTTAATCTTAGTGAGGATCACTGAACTGTAGGACCTCATGTAACTCTAAATGAGAGCAGCTCTACGTACAGCACTGTAGTCTCCATGAGCCCAGCTATTTTCCAACCAAACTGATCAATATTCAATTCAGTGTCCTTTTCTTAGCTGGTCAATCTTGTCTCCATATTGCTTACCTAAAGAGGAAAGTATCTAGTTCTTAAGTATATCAAATTAAAAGGGATCTTAAAGTGATGGTAGTCCTATTTTGTTGTTTGCCTAACAGATTATGAGAGTCACACTGATGTAGATGTAATAACATTTTGAATTGGCTTTTTTATTTTTTTTTGCAAATTCACACTAATTTTAGTTATTTGTTATGTTTGCTGTTATGCAAATGCAAGTATTGTCTAAATGTAAATATTTTTTAACCAAACACTTGAATATTTTTTTGTGAACCCTGGAATGTAGGTTTCAGGACATCTAACAGCCTGAGCAATTAAAGCACATAACGGTATGCTTTTGTCTGGAGTCAGTCAGGCATTCTTTTTCACACCATTTGATTTTGATTGAAAGAGTCTGATCCTTTGTAGAATAAAGTGTTGCTTCTGGTTCTGTTCCTCCCTTTTTTGTACCTGCAATCAGACTATTCTTTACCTATGTACTTGAAATATGGCAAATGTAATTGGTTTTCATTGTAGTTAAGTGTTTTTCTTTGTGGCTATGATTAGTCATAAACAAGCCATATCTCATTTAACTAAATGCAGTTATACAATATTGTGAAATTGTTGTTTTACTTTATAGTCCTCTTTATATTGGTTCTGATGCCATATTGAGCCAAATAACTAAGCAGCTTTCTTATGTTATATCTTATTTACTGCAGTTGTATGATCATGTTAACTTTTAAGTAAACTATGAATAGAGTATATAAAAAAACAAAAATTATTTATTTCCTTCTGTTAAGGCAGGTAAAAAGAAAAAATTCCTCAGTTTCAAGTAATGCATGGTTAAATCTAAATCTACATAATGCTGGTGAAGGTTCTCAGTCAGGTCAGGTCATAGTCATTCCAAAAAAGTAAAAACAAAAAAAACAAAACAATCCACTGGACTTGATTTCCAAGTTTGAAGACGTTTCGCTTCCCAATGCTAATTGTTGACAATTTGCATTAAAAAAGCTTTCTGGATGGGAAACGAAACATCTTCAAACTTGGAAACCAAGTCTAGTTGATTGTTTTTTAATTTCTAAATGTACAAACTGACCAAAAACTGCAAAAAGGCAAACTGACTGCATGCTCATTAAGGCTTTTCGGGTCTTTAGGTGGGACTATGATGTTTTGTGGTTATCTGAACAAAATCCAAAGGGTTACATTTACCCAACACGCACACACACAAACAAAAACAAAAAAAAAACATTACATTGAGAACCCTTAAGCTAATTTTTTTGTTATACACTGAAATGTTTTAATCAGAGTACAGTAGGTTGGATTTTAGAACATGAAACTTTTATTTTTGTGTTCATTGCTATCTAAGGCGAGCTCTTTCCATCTAGCTAATCTATCTTGGCATCCACCACCAGTGTTACTTCTACCTGCTGCAGTTAAAACACATGATCACCCTTTGAGAGACCTCTTGATAAGAGCCGGGGTAAAAAAGCTGTGAAAATGAAGACGTTTCTTCTAATTTCACACTCTATGCTTGATCGTTAGGCTCTTATTATGCCCCATTTGCTTCCCTCCACTAGCTGTGATGAAAGGAGGGCAAAAAGGCCATGACAGGACAAAAGAGGGCCCTTCATCAAAACACATTTTGTTTGGGGTCTCTCTCTTTTTTTTTTTTTGTCCAACTCAACCCTTCCCCCACATTTCTGCCAACACGTTTTTCTGGAGTTTCCACTCGCCTGCATCCCTCATTAGCAGCCTCCCCCACCTGCCTCCACATTCATTTTATTAAACTGCGATTGTTCAACGCTCTGTGCTCATCAGAACAGGCTGTCCGCTCTCATTTAATTGGCCCACAGCTTCCCCACTGCTCCTCAACAAGTGGGGAGGTCGATGGCTGCCTATGACCTGGGACACTGGTGTCTGTCAGTTGTGGCCAAAAGACAGCCTTACCCTTAAACCCAACATCATAAGCAGGCAAAACAAACATGCACCCATGTCTTTGCATTGAAGTACACTGTGATAACTTCAAGAAAAAAAGCTCAAAGTAAATCAAATCTTAAATTAGTAGCCATTTTACTCTTTAGATTCCATTGATACTTTCTGATGTGTTAACATTTTATCTTAATATCTTTTAAAATAAGTTAAATTTTAAAATAATATTTTAATTATATTTGTGCATATTTTGATGTCTATAATGTAAGAAAACTTGTTAGGCAAAAATAATCTGGATTTTTCTTCTTTTGTGGCATATGATATCCGTGTTTAGGCTTGTATTTGTAAAGGTCTAGGTCAAGCCAAGCATCCCAGTAGCCATAATTAAAAGCGGCGTGGGATTTGAGAACTAAAGCTGTTCTAATTAGTCAGAGTGTTTAATAGAATGCATGTTTGTAACAAGAGGGGTGACTTTCTTCTCCCAGCCCGTCAAAATCTGTCAAAGTCCTCACTAAGTGGGCACTAATTTGAGAAATTATATCAGCTGTGAAGTGAAGAGTGAAGGGGAGCGAAAGTAGGCTGGACTGCAAATGCAAAATTGTTCAGCGAATGAGAACAGATATTTTTTTTGACTTGGCTGAAATGCTTAGGTCGAGGTCATGACTTGCAGTGGTGTTTGGAGAGCACGGTGTTAAAAGCTGTTCTGATTCATGGCCAAAGCAGAGGTTTTATCTGGACTGCACTATCACAGTGAGAAGTCACAATGACATGCAGAATATCTGGACTCTAGTCAAGTGTTGCTGAATTCTTTCATTCAAAGTTTGATTCTGAGACTCTCATCAAAGAAACATTCTTCAAAATATAATGGAAAAAAATCATGAAAAATTGTTATAACAATTAAGGTTTTAAGATTCAGATTTCTTATACATTTTTGTTATTCATCCAGCAATACTTGTTGAATGTTATATATGAAAAATTATTTCTTTATATTAATGAGGTCAGCTTGCAGCCAATGAAAACCACAAATGCTGTTTCTCAGAAATTTAGAGAAAAAAAAAACTTTCCCCCTTCTGAAAAATATGTCTATGCATAACCTATACTACTTAATGCCATAGTGTATACACTCTAAACTGTAGCTTCAGATTCTTAAGACCTTGATTTGTAAATACTTTACAAAATTTAGCTTGATTTGAAAAAGAATCATAGGTAAACCAAGGAACAGTCCATTCCTTTTTGCCAAGGTAGAACAGTTCTTCTCTCCAGTTTAGACGTATCTTAACCGGTAACAGTTCTAGCCTATGTTGCTTTGGTGGTTGTTGGAGTAAAGACTCCAGCTGCAGTTCTAACCTTGTTAATATCCCCAAATTGAATGTGCTTTGCTTTACAGTACTCTTAAGGCTGTCGTTATCCTTGAAAAACTTATTAAACCTCCCTTTTTCCTTCTAACTTTCAGTTGACGTGCTTGGATACAGCACTATCATTAGCCAGCTTCTTTAGCATTGACCTAATGGGCTTACGTTCCTTGTGGGGGATGTCATGATCCTTTGGTAAAGAACGCAGTGTTCAAACTTCAATCTACAACATAAATACTCTTGAAATATATCTCATGTATTTTTAGATCTGTCTCCTTAAATTTAATAATAACTATTGTCACGTTCCTTAAATTCTATGGTATATTGGATGGGACTGATACTAAACAATTATTCTGACTAATAGATTATTAAAATATTTGGCAACTATTTAATTTTTCAAATAATTGTTAACTTGAGTATATCTACTCGAAAATATGTCATTTTCTGAAAGAACGACCCATTCAGAGCAGTAGGTGCTCCATGCAAAGTGTCATGTGTCCTATTATGGGCTGTGCCTAATGCATCATTGCAATATGAGTCAATTTTTAATCAGAATATTGCAGTAAGAGGTGTAGTGTCAGTAATCAACTTTATTACAGATTCTCCTTAAAAAAAATCCTAATCTCAAGTAGAAAAATATATAGTAATTACTTTTCATCTCATTTGTACCTAATTGAATGGATCTGGATACTGTAGCTGTTTTACTTAATGATAGAGCATTAACTTTCTTCCATAAGTTCAGTTCTGTGATGCAGCAACATTAAGAATTACTCATAAGAAAAATGTTAATTTGTTTTTTCTTCCTGTCCCTCAACAGTGGGAGGAGGTGAGCGGTTACGACGAACATATGAACACCATCAGGACGTACCAGGTCTGTAATGTTTTTGACAGCAATCAGAACAACTGGGTACGGACAAAATACATCAGGCGTCGTGGTGCTCAGCGGATCCACGTGGAAATGAAATTCTCTGTTAGAGACTGCAGTAGCATCCCTAATGTCCCGGGCTCCTGTAAAGAAACTTTTAACCTTTATTACTATGAATCAGATTCAGACACAGCCACCAGAACATCTCCAGCATGGATGGAGAATCCCTGGATCAAAGTTGACACCATTGCAGCAGATGAGAGTTTCTCCCAGGTTGACCTTGGAGGCAGAGTGATGAAGATCAACACTGAAGTGAGAAGTTTTGGCCCTGTGTCAAGAAATGGTTTTTACTTAGCCTTTCAGGACTACGGAGGCTGCATGTCGCTCATTGCAGTCCGGGTCTTCTACAGAAAGTGTCCTCGGATTATCACTAACGGGGCACTGTTTCAGGAGACTCTATCAGGAGCAGAGAGCACCTCGCTGGTGGCAGCAAGGGGTGTTTGCATCCCGAACGCAGAGGAGGTGGATGTTCCCATAAAGCTTTACTGCAACGGAGATGGAGAGTGGATGGTACCCATTGGGCGCTGTATGTGCAAAGCCGGGAATGAGGCTGTGGAAAACGGAACTGTTTGTAGAGGTATGTTGTGGCATTGTTTTTGCTATCCTTTTAAGTCCAATGATTCACTTTGATCTGCCACCATGAAGGAGTAATCCCACCAGGCAAGGAGTCTATTTATGCTACGTGTGGTAGCAGACCTTAAGCTGTTCAAAGAGCTTATTCGTTGAGATACAATAGTGTTATAAGGTCATGCATCAAAATATGATGAAAGGTATAAATTCTATTCATCGTTTATTTAACTGAAGCCATCATCACATTTCCATAACAATACCTTAATCCCCTCTGTTTGCTATTTCCCAATATAAACACACTGTGAAATATGGGTTTTCTTTTGATTTTCCCACAATATTTTATGGGAACAGGGCTCCCAGACCCATAACACAATGACATAGCTTTGTTTGGAACGTGTGATAAGTCTTAGTTTTTTCCTAAAATTAAACTGCTATTGCCACTGTTCAACCTCTTAGGTCGTCACAAAAATAGATTTAAGACAAACTATTGCAGAACTAAACAAGCTCACATTATAATATAAAAATAATGCGCAGTGACATTAAAATGGCTCCCTATAAACTCTGTTTATACTCTTTATCTGGAAATATCAACATTGGTGGGGCTTACTCTTTAAAGAAACACCCATCTTCTTCTGACTATCCATCAGGGTCTTGATGGAGCTTGTTCCTATCTCCAGATGGGATACATCCTGGACAGGACAACACAGAGACACGCGCACACACACACCCACTCACACACATGCACATACACATACCTAAGGAGAATTTGGAGATGTCTATAAACCTAAAAGTGATCTTTTGGACTGTTGGAGGAAGTTGTAGTTGGAGTAGAGAACCAACGCATGCCCAGGGAAAACATGCAAACTCTATGCAGAAGGATGCTAAGCTAGCAATCAAATCCAGGATCTTCTTGCTGCAAGGCAAAAGTGCTACAAACAGCACCCACTTTAAAGAAACACTGTTTTTTCCATCAACATGCCATTCCAATCAGCAAAAAAATGGACAGAAAAGCACCAGAAAATGTTCTCCTCCACTTATTTAAATGGACTGGAGATTTTTCACTGTCATTAGGAACCGCTTACAGGAAAATTGATCAAGCTTTTTAAACAATCGATGGAGCCAGCATTTATCTGCGCCTTGGCCTATCCAAACTTTAGCAGGTGGTATCTGGTCATTGTAGTTAGAGATCTTGATCACTCAGCACAGCACCACATGCATAGCTTGCAAGCCGGAGTCATGCTGATCCATCCCAGAACCTCATACCCCCACCTGTGCATCTGATTGGTTTATTCCTGCCTCTCACGTATGAGCCTGTAATTACAACTCATCCCCCAGTGTCCGTATGCTGGGAGGGAAAACATGATGGGTGCTGCATAACAAACACTGCTGGACACGTTCAATGAGTACTAAAAAGGATGTACACAAGAAGAAGTGCAGGAAGATTTCGCGATATAATATGAAGATAATATGTTCAGAAAATTTGAACGTAGGGAATGTAAAGATCCCAAGGTAGACAGCTAGTTTGTATTCCAGACTTGGCAAGGCAAGTTTTTTCTATTGGCACAATTTAAACAAACATATTGTACAGAGATGCACATTTAAACCATAAGTAGACAGACAAGATATTGAAGTCACAATGTAGTCTTTAACATTTATGGTAAAGCTGCAGTAAAAAAATATATATTTTTTTCTATAAGAAAAGGCAACACCTTCTGAACATCTCAGTTTATGGTTGAACTGGTCTGAAATCCTGATACTTAGTTCTAATCATCGGAGCACTAAATGAAAAGGGTTTGATCAGCTTATATAGGCCCACAAGGGGAAATGCATTTAGGAATAATTTTCCTTTTGATCAGTACTGTTTTAAAGACACAGATTTTTACATTTAGAGAACTGGTGCAACCTTTTCATAAAAGTAGTCATGTATGATTTATTTTACTTGTGGTATAAAAGACTCTGGCAGTAGCATTATAGCAATACAGTAATTGAATGGAAAGAAAACCGAATGATTAATCCGGTTTTCTGTACTTTTTTGACAGAAAGCCTTTCTCAAATGTAAATATGATTATGTAAGTAGATGAAGCCCCTTCAATCTCATATAACCTGCCCGTATTTTTTGATACTTAGTTTAAAAAAAATTAAAATAAACAAAACTAATGATATGATAATCAAAAACGTCACAAATTCATAAAAAAACACAAATAATGCGACAAAATTAATAATTATATAAAAAAAAAGTACTTGAAGATTGTATTTTATTTCTTTTAGTTCTGCATATTGTAACATTATTAAGATGTTAATAGGAATCTATATTGTACAATGCAAAATGTTTTGCATTGTACAATAATTTTATAAGATATTTTTTTTCAAATTTTTGTACTAAATGTCAGAATAATTGATTTTGACTCAAACAGAAAGCAAATATAAAGAATATACTATGGCTAATATTATTCTGGTGGCTCTCTTTGATGTAAGGCATAGCTTGTTCGCTCTTCAGTCAGCTTCCTAAAGATGGAAAACTGATACCGGTTTTTTAAAGCTGTGGTCAACCACCACCTTTCAGCTGCAGGAGGTTGGATAATAAATTGATCTGTGAAAGATGTTTTGCCTTCCAATAATATAGGGTAATGAATTGATTTATGAGAAGTGCCTTCAAATTGTTTGCAAGATATCCTGTTTCATTGTGAAAGTATTATGCCCCACCAACCCACAAAGGAGTAAAGATGCAGACGCTGTTGCTACTGTATATTTCAGTTGATGCTGTGTTCCAACAATTCCAACAAAACATGTAATTAAGCATGTAACAATTAAACTGCTGGCAGGGATTTTGACAAATAATTATGCTGTCATGAAACCTGTCAAAATATTGATGGCAGAAGGTGGTGCTCACATCAAATTGCAAAGGTTTTTCTTTATTTCTGCACTGTCTTACAAGTGAGATTAAGTTTCCTCTTTAAGAACTGCAGTGAAAGCGAGGAACCGTGCAAAAGCCTTTCAGCTTTCAGCAGAGACAGTCCTAAAAAGACAGATCTAATTTCCCCTTAGAGCTTTGTGGAGATGGTTCACCACAGAGACACATCAGGTTCTCTTTGCCTTTGCTGGTTTCTTCAAATTGAATAGCGTTCCCCTTATTTGGGCACAACGAAGGCAACGTCCTTGGGTGGAATGGCAACCTCCCCTAACAATACCCATGTGTCTTTTAGTGTAAACTGATCATCTAACCCCATGCTATTGTGAGTTTAAGGGTCCCAAATGTGGGAGTGTGGCTGATGTTATTGAGCAATGAAAGTTTGGAAGCAAACTGTCACAGTGGTAACAACAACTTGATTCATTTCTTGGATAAAGGAGAGGCTGTTTCTAAGAAGAAATGGGAGAACCGTCACTAGAAATATTATTTGTTTAGCCTTCCAGCCCATGGCTAAAGGACCCAAACATCATTTGATAGAGCGTGAAAACACTTTTTAAAGTAAGGGCGATAAGATCTGGTGGACTTTTAAGATGAAGATAATTAGGTCATTTTTATAACAACTCTATAACATTTTTATAATTATATCAGAAAGAAGTTTAGTTAAATAGTTACAAATGAACTCTCCTTATGCATGAAGACCACAACAAGTGAATAATTTATTGTGACACATGGTATTGGTTGGGATGTTGAAAGCAAAGACTTTGTCCTCAGAGCTTCTTGTTATAGGTAGGGAAACCCCACCAACAAAGTTAAGAATGTCTACAAAGCTGACAGGAAGATGCAAAAGAAACACCAATACTGTAATATATAGTGTCTGATCCTCTTACATGACCTTTCGTCTTTAGATTCTATCATACACTTAACACCCTTTTGTTTTAAGCTCTTTCTTTCAACTTATCCATCCTTCGTAATTAGAAATACCACTGTAAAATGGTTAAGTCTTGGTTGTGATGCTCTTTAGCTGTCTGTGTGTCGTGTGAAGTATCTCAAGGTCAAAGCATTGATCCTTTGAAACATGAGACATTCAGTCTTATGGTTAAGTATGCATCAGTTCTAGCAAGTGCTGTAAGTTTTTTTTTTTGCACCAGATTAAATGGGTTAAAAGCAAACTATTCAATATTTCTTGAATCAAATGTGGTTGTTGATCAAGAGAATTAAGGGGATCTAGTGCATAGGAGGGGGCAGTACAGACATGATTAAATAGAGATGATTACATGGAAAAGCGGAGCAGGCAGAATCTAGAAATTAGTCGCCCTAACGCTGTCAGAATCTCAATTATTTCCATCTCCTGGTCTGGAGAGAGTTTAGGGATAGAAATCAGCGTTACACAGACAAATCCACGCCACTGCTTTTATTTCCCCTGCCTATCCGGCCTTTAATGGCAACACTAATTGACTAACGGTGCAAGTGGGGAACAGCCCAGCTGATGACTCGATGACTGTCCCCCATGATGGAGTTAGACAAAGACAAAGCAAACGCCCCCCAACCAAGCTGTTCACTGCTTTGTGTATTCTGCAAACAGAGATAAAAGGTTTGCATTGGGGTTCTGTATCAGCAAGACCAAAGCAGCAACAGGGGAGAAAAAAAGGCTTTAAATGTAAACACTGTATAAACAGAGTAAGCATTCAGACAACATTATAACAGCCACACTTATTCTTGTTGATAGATGGCTTGCTCAACTGCTGTTCAAAGAAATGCAGTTAAGCATAAGGAATACAAATTAAAGCCTGTGCAGATATTCGTTATGACAAGATTTGCTTGTTAAAAGAGCAGCACAGCTAACGTGAGTTATTAGCGGCATCAGAGGCAACATCCTTTGATTTCCATTACTAATCTTTTCATTTAGATGTGATGAAATGTTTGTGATGTGTATGCAGCAGGGGCTGTCACTTTATTCTGAACACAGTGTCCAAAGTTTTAACTGTATGAACTCTAATAGTAAAATGTAGGTGCGTAACTCCACTTAGACCATTTTTAGGATACCCAAGACTGTGCACAATAGTTATATTTTATAAAAGTACACAGATACAGTTTTTGAT